TTTTTTTTTTTTTTTTTGCATTTATTTTATAAGCGAAAAAGAAAGGAATTATTTTTTTGCATACACTTACAGTATGACTCTGAGGTGGACGAGAGGAGGCGCAAAAAAAAAAAAAAAGCAAATAAGCAACAGATAGAGTGCTGCAATAATGGAAAAATTTTAAATTGGCGCTATTGGATGAGAAAATGCAGTGTGTTGGTGGAAATTATTGTTGGTGCGGTGATACGTGGAGTATTTGCAAAAACAGTTTTCAGAAGTTCAGCAGCAGCAGCAGCAACAACAGCAACAGACAGCAGCACACCATACATAACATACGCATCATCGTCAGATCGGTTTCGGTTTTCGGCCTTATTTTGGTGTCTACCAATTGCTCCAATTCTTCAAAGACTGTATGTTGTATTTCACTGATATTACACTGTTGCATAACAATTTTTCTTTTATGCTCAGTTTAATCATTATCAATATTTTTAACGATTATTTTTCTCTTATTGCTTTATTTTGTTTTATTATTATTATTATATTTTCATCTCATTTTAATTTTTTTTTTGCATGCATAATCATAAAATTTACAATCATTTCTTTTACTGTACACATAATTTTATTCAATTTTAAGTGAAATTTTTCTTCTTTCTTTCTATTTTGTCATAATTATCAGGAAATAATGTAATATTGTCGTCCACTAATTTGCTTGTTGTTGCTTTTGTTGCTTTTGTTGCTGTTGTTGTTGTTGTTGGTGGTGGTGGTGGTGGAGGTGGTGGTGGTGGGCTTGCCGCTACAGTTTTCTTTCTATGTTATTAAATCACTGGACAGGGTTAACAGATGTTGTTGGATTAGGTGTTAAAAGGGAATATTTCAACAAAAACTGTAGTATCAATAACATTGATATCCAACATTTTTTGCATTGTCATTTTTTAAGGTTAATGCTTAAGGTTGTTCAGCGTATCAAAGAAAACAGGAAGAAGAAAAAACAAAAACTATAATGAAACAAAATTCCGAAGTTTATTTTCATTGTTAAAGTTTTATTTCATCTTATTTTTTTCACTTATATTTGCTTGCATAAAACTGTACTTTTTTTCTTTCTTTTTAGTGAATATCGAATCACATGGATACAAAGTGATTAAACGTCATTTACACACTTAGTGTTTGCTGAAATTGCCACTCAAAATTTTGGTTCATAATTTGTGAGTTTTACAGAAATTATTGGAGATTCTTAGACGTTGTATTGTATTTCAAATTTACTTTTGTATGTCAACTAACTTTTTCCCTGATGCGCATTTTTTGTTAGAAATAAATGGCAGTTTATCTGCTTTACAGTACCTGCTATCTCAAATTTTATTTATTTGTTTTTTTGTTTTTGTTATTTAAACCTCATTTTTATTCGTTCAACTGGTGTTTCCTTGCTACTGTGAAACTACTTTTCTTTTTCTTGTTTAAATTATTACTATTAACAGCACCACTTTCAGTCATGAGTAACGAGAAATCTGGTAATGCCGATATGGAAGCTACTTTAATTAAAGCCAGATTCGGTAATGACGTACGAAAAGTTTCTCTTCATCACAATGAAGATATTTCTTACGATGATCTTTGTATCATGATGCAGCGAATATTCAAGATTGAGTCATCGGCTAATATTACTCTAAAGTATCGAGATGATGGTTAGTTTCTTGGAAGTTGCTACAAAATTTTCCTGTTTAAATTTTTTCCCAAGGTTAGTGCTGCTTTTAACGGGCTTGTTCACTCCTCATTCTTGAAGGTGTGTTTTGACTTTCGGTATTTAGCCCGAATTTTTTTATACAAATAAGTTTTACCATTTCCAGATGACGATTTGGTGACTATTGCGGATGACAACGACCTGCTTATTGCTCTTCGAACGCAACACAACCTTTCAGTTGTTGTTCTCTCAGAACTTGCTGATGCTACCACCATTGAAAAGTTAGACCTAATTGTAAATTAGACTTTCCTGAATGCTTCTAGTATTTCGTATTTTGGAAAATTGTATTAGTACTTCATTTAATTAATGTTCATCTAAATTATTTTGTTTAATGAGTAAATATTTTCTTAGGTTAGCTTCGGAACTCGAATTAATACGTCACACTACTGCCGCAGCGATAGAAAGTTTAAAGATGATCAAATCCTCTGGTATAGAACCCCCTGTATTTGGAGTTGGAGGGAGCGAAAGACCAGATACTCCAGCACATAAAGAGACTGTTGCTACTATCCAGCCATCTGTGCACGAGCAGGTGACGATCGATTCCATATTTTTGTAAAACTCATGAATAAGACTCTTACAGCATATGTGCATATTGTAGCACATTCATGGAACTGGTTTAAAACTTCTTTTCATGATGCATGTTGTCATTCAATTGCGTTGAGAGTATGAACATCCTTCTCTTGCCCACCTGCGTCTGTTACAAGTAGCAGCCTTGTTCCACATTTAGAACCTTTGCTTCGTTCCACTTCTAGTTGGATATCAAGATTTCTACGTAGTGGGGGACTTCAGTGTTTGAGAAGTCATGACTTTGTTCTAAAAAATAAATTCGGCTTTTTTTAATGGGACTTCCAAATCTGCCAAGGAACATGTTCTCTAAATTCAATTTGATAATGTGAAGCTTTCACTAGAGAGGAGTTGCACAGAAGACATTGTAGTCTTCAAAGCATGGAGTATGATATCTTCAGCAGAGGAATGTCTCCGTAGTTTTAGAAGGGAATCTTTGAGGCAGTTGTTGCGGTAATGGAAAGACGTTTTTTTTAACGCTGTTTGGGTTTCTAGCTATGGTTTTCGTTCAATAGTGCTTTGACAGCTAATTGAGGTGTTCTTTAACCAACTATATAAAATAATGAGATTTCAAATGACAAGTAGATTTCGTTTCTTTTATTTGGGCCAGAAGTTAATGCATGTGAATTTGAAGGAAAAAAGTTGAAGCCAGGACGGTAAAATTAGATTTTTAGTAAGATTTGGAGTGTTCTTATTTCGTTTATGCTTACTAGTCTTGGCCGGTTTTGCTTTCAGTATTTGTCGGAAACTTTAATTTCAGGTTAGCAATTCAGCTGCTGGTGTAACCCACCCGCCAGCTCCATCAGTACATTCCGAAAAACCTTCTGTAGAAGTTCCGGCATCACAGCCAAATGTTCTTAAAGGTTTTGATCATCATCCACGAACTGGTATTATTGACCAAGTTTTACAACCACCAAAGGAACACCAGGCATCTAATGAGCCTACGACAGAAATAGATATATCTGATAAGAATCAGAGTGCTTTTGTTCCGGTTTCAAAGCAAGGTTAGCTAATACATGGTTGCTTCTAGTGATGCTTGATAGTTTTTGACTTATTTTTTAAAGATTTTTTGTTTTATTGTATCCTTAGACTTCTCTAAATTACTCCTTGCTGGTTGCAAAGTATGTAAAGCTTCATTTCCGCCAATGTAAAACGCTCAACAATTTTTGAAAAAGCTTCCAAAAACCTTTTGTTTATTAGCTTTGTCAAGTCAACGAGTCGTATTAAGCTGATAGGGACTGCTTTTCACTAGTGTAAATCACTTTGTTTCAGAGTTGAATGAATTAGACTCTCATAATGCACCAGGAATGATAAACGCTTCTGCACCATCACTTCCGCATCAGATGCCTTCGGCTCCTGTCTCGGCAATGCCATTTTCAACAGGCTCTCAGCACTCTGGGCAACCAACGACTCTCCAGTCTATCCCATCTGTACCCACTCAAAATGAGTCATTCACACCATCTCCGACACAGTTTGGTTTCCGCCCTCCAGCAGCGCAAACTCAGTCCTCAACAGCTACTGCAACCCCTCCGTTTCAGCAGTTTTCAAATCAGTTCCAACCTGCAGTAATGCAGGGCCCTAGATTACCATATGCTTCTGTTACAACAGGCTCGGCTACACCAGTTTCGATGGCTCCACCTATATCAGCAGCACCTGTTGGCTTACAGCACGCTTCAGCGGAGACTGTGCCGCACAGTATGCCTCCTTTTGTGTCGCAAACATCATCGACACCAACAGCATTCAGTACAGCTCAAAATATGACGCCACCACAGCAACTACAATCTGGAGCCACACCAAGTTCAAGCCCTTTTATGCAGTATGTAAAGCCAGACAACATGCCAAATTACCACACTTCCGGTGAATTTCAAGCGATGCAGCAACAGGCTGCGGGGAATATGCCTCCAAGTTCCGTGCCGTACTCTACATCTACGTCTTTACCTCCATCGTCCCTTCCACCCTCGTCTATCCCGCAAATGTCTGTTGCAAATGCCACTGCCCCGCCTTCAATGGCTGCTCCGCCAGCTGGTCCGCCAACTATGGTGCAGTTTGGTGTTCCTGGTAGTAATCCGTTTACCATGAGTGTTAAAGGCCCTCATTACCCTCGTCCTTCATTTATGGGTCCCAGTTTCCAGCAGCAATAATGGAGCCTTATTGTTGGTTGAGATGTTATGTTGTCACTTATTCTTAAGTGGCGCCTTTCTTCTATCTTGTTGAATGAACTTAATTTATTTTTGTCCTCTTTTATGTTAATTTATATAGAAGTTATAAGCAATTTGGGATGTTAGTGGTTCGAGAATACGTGAAACCCAGTTGTGGGAACTCTATTCAGTAATTCTGCTGAAAGTTCGGTGGAGAGGTTTTTTCTGTGTTTATGGTGTACGGGAAGATGTCTTTCATAAAATTACTTAGTAGCACTGTTGCCAAAATGGCTAAAGTAATTCACACTGTCATCAAAAATTCCAGCAGGAGGTGAAAGGATCTTGCAGTGAAACGCTCGGAAAAGTCATTGAGATCAAACCTCATCTTTTTATTAGGGTTTGCAAAAACTGATGGTCACAGAAACGAAATACCAACAGTATTACAGACAACCTGGAAGCCTCCTTTTTGTAGTACTTACAAATCACTAATTCTACAAATCATATCAGAATCTAATGCAAAGTGGCTGGGAAGCATTCAAACACTTCCTAGCAGGGCACCAGTCGTGTTCCGTCATTTTCTTTGAGAACAGCTAGAAGAGCATGAAAACATAAATATCAACTTCACGGTGATGAGGTCAGTGAGGTGTTGCATTTTTCTAAGCAGTAAATCACCCTGGGTAAAACTTTTTCTTTTCTTTCGCATGATCAATCAGTAACTGAGCTGGCTGGAATTGTTCCGCTGAGTAAGCTTCTGCAAACCTCGACATGTTTTTGATCAACTTGTCAGCGCCGTACAAGTCAATAAAGCGGAAAGGGCCACCCCAAAATGGAGGGAAGCCGATACCGAACACTGAAGCTACGTCACCATCGGACTGAAAAGTAGTTGTGTTACTCAATTTCTTTATGTTTCTTTCAATTAAGTACGCTCAAATGCTATGGAAAGAAATAATGCGAAGGTCGACTACGAAATTTCAATATGGTTTTTTACCGGCGAAGAGATGACATTTTCTTGTAAACAAATAGCTGCTTCATTAATGTATCGGCAAATAATACGTAACTGCTGGTCTTCCGTACCGCTTCTAAAACCAACAAAAACGGTTTGAGTCGGTAGTTTTACTCCTTAGGTGATTAACCAATTCAGTATTGAGGAGTTCCAAAGTTGTGGAGACAGAAATATTATCAAAGTGTTGCCAATAAGAAGCCACTTACACAGCTGCTGGGGCGGTTATTCTATGTCTGGAGATAATCTTCAATGCAGCATCATTCATCTTCTTCCCTTTCTTCCCTTTACCGTAAATATAATAACCTTTCCCTGACTTTCGTCCTTTGAACCCACTGGAAACCATTTCGGAAAGAAGACTCACAGAACCACCACCCATCCTTGGTCCAAGAGCCTAAAAGCCAAATGTTGTAACTTCCACAATAATCACAAAAACGACAACTCATATAGTAAGAACCATGCTAAGCAAAGGGAAAAACAATGGACACCTCCCCCAAGAAGTGGGCCACATGCTCAGCGACGTCCAAGCCGACTTCATCACCGAGAGTCGCAGCACCTACTGGAAAACCATAACTCTTCGTTAGCTTATCCAGTTCTTCCGGGCTGACACCTTCTTGTATCAAACGGCTAACTTCACTCATCATAGGGGCAAGACACCGGACAACAAAGAAACCCGGACAGTCCTAAAAACCTTTAACGGCAGTACCTCATTATTACTATGTCTGAAAGAAGAATAAAAAGACGCTTACTTTTACTACTACTACTAGCTTCTTCTGTCTAAGACCCAGATTCGCAGCGACTTTTAGAGTTTCTTTGCTAGTTTTTTCTGTTGTGATAATTTCCAGCAGTTGCATCTTCTCAACAGGAGAGAAATAGTGCATTCCGATAATACGTTCAGGTTTCCTGGCAACAGATGCTATTTCTTTAATTGGTAAGGCTGACGTATTTGACGCAATCACACATTTATCAGAGACCACAGATTCAAGCTGTAACTGATGGTGTATTAAGAACTGAGAGAAATACTAGGACTAGTTATTTAAAATAAATAAAATGAAAAATTTCCAATGCCTTTATCGAATTTGCCAAAATTTTTTTGAACTGCTGTAAGTTCAAGGCCACCTCAGTCGTAAATCTCAAAAATAAGAGATGAAATTACCTGTGTAATGATTTTATGCTTTAGCCCGATCTCTTCAAAAACCGCTTCTACAACAACGTCACAGTCTTGAAGATCCTCATATGTAGTTGTAGGTTTCACATATGCCATAGATCTATCTCTCTCCACAATGCCAATTTTCTTCCTTTTATACGCTGTATTTAGATGTGAATAAATCTGGTTTAAACCTCTGGCTAACCCTTCATCGTGCATATCAATTAAGGTCGTTTTGATCCCCTTATCAACGGTAACATTTGTTATCCCAGCACCCATAAGTCCAGCACCAACAACAGCAATCTTACTAAAACATCGTCAGAAATAAATCCATAAGCATAAAAAAGCATTGAAAGTCATAAGGAAAAATAAAGAACAAACTTTATATCTTTCTCTAGCTTTCCCCACTTATTCTTTTTGCACGCAGTAGAACTGTTAAATATTCCTACAAGGGCTTTACTTTGCGACGTTTGAGAAAGCTCACCAAATGCCTTGAAAGAAATAAGAAGAGGATTTTAATATGCAGATGATCCATGTCTTTCCATAATTAAAGAATATAAAACTAGTGAAAACGAGTGCTGTGCAATCGTTGGCAACGAGCAAACACAATCTTTAAAACTAACCCTCGATTCTCTGTCATACCCGCTACCATCACTTGTGTTAAGCCCCGATTTTACAACATCTAAAATCCTCAAAGGGGCAGGATAATTCCCAGCTGTCTGACTCATGACCTAAAATTTGCTGCATTTTCAACAAATTTCGAAAATCTACACAAAATGCGTTCAAAAAGTCCAAAATTATGAAAAAAAAGTTAGTCCATCCTACCAAGAAGTAGACATTTTAACGACCCGAGAACTTAATTTCGACTACTTGTGTCCAGTTAGTGGAGAAAGAAGAGTTGGACCACTTATGAGGTGATCAGAGAAGGGTGAAATTTTATTACCTTTTTGGTAACAGTTCTCAGAAGAACTTTTTCCAAGAGCGGAGGTCTTGTTAAAAAGTAATTTACAGTCCGTTCCAAAAACGGCCTTGTTCTATCAGGCTTCAAAGCTCCCGTCGCTAACTGTTTAGCAACAGAAACTGCTACCTAGAAGTATAAGAACTGAGTATTATACTGTAACCGATACAAACAGGCATTCTAGACTGACCTTTTCCAAATAGTCAAGGTTGTTTTCCTCATAGTTTTTTAAACCACCACCAATCGGATCAATAACATGATCGACCAAGCCAACTTTCTTGGCTTTGGAAGGTTTCAAAGCTTTTCCGGTCAGCATCATATCCAAAGCTGTCGATATTGATACTAATTTTGGCAACCTCTGAGTCCCCCCAGCTCCAGGTAACAACCCAAGCATTACCTAATGAAACAAAAGACAGAAAATAAACTTGAAAAAAAGAAAACTATTAAATCTAGACATCCATCAATATCCTAAAAATCAACTATTTTAATTCGTGATCTCCCTCGAAAGAAAAAAATGAGCTAGTCGAGAAATGTGACAAAACAATTAAGACTGCAAGGCCACGAAATTATAATTCAATTTACCTCGGGAAGGCCTAATTGAGTCTTGGCTGTATTAACAGCAATTCGATATTGACACGCCATAGCTAGTTCAAGGCCACCGCCCATGCACGTCCCCATAATTGCAGCTACAATAGGCTTTCTAGAAGATTCAATTTGAGCAAACTCACGCTGCGCCTCCTGAGACAACTTTTCCACATCAGTCGCAGACTTACCCTAAAGAACTAGTTGGGACTGCGAGCGGAAACAACTCTTGAAGAAGCTCCAGCAAAATAACGAATACGTCCTAACATCACATTAATACATTTAGACCACTATATTACCCCAAAGCCTACTGATATATCTCCGCAAAAGAAACAACAATAAAAAATTAGCTTTCTCTACAATGAAAAAGTGCTGTTTTTACAATGTACTCAGTAACCAAAAATAAAAGTCGCAACGTACAAAACTAAAGAAAGGAAAAACACAATAAACAAGAGTTCTTCCCAACAAAAACTTACCTTTGACAACATGTCAATATCAGCACCAGCTATAAAGCTGTTAGGTTTGCCAGAAATTATTACTGCACTTCGTATACCGCTATCAGACTGTATACGTTCTAGTGCCTTTTTCAGCTCCTCTGAGACTGACTTATTTAATGTGTTTTCCTAAATTTACATAAGAAGCTTGAACTTTTGCTGCACAAAAGAAACAGTAAACGATCAGAACAATTTTTTATCAAACTGAAAATAGTTACTGCGATTTTTTTCTCGAAATATGGTCGCTCGAAATATGTTCAAAAAAAAAAAAAAAAAAAAAAAAAAAAAAAAAAAAAGGGCTAAATCAAATCAAAGGAACACCAAACCTTGACATTCTTGCAGTTTAATTTTACAATCGCAACATCATCCTGAATCGAAAGAGCTACTGAGTCTGAAAATATTTTTTTGTTAACTCAGCATTATCTAAAAGTAGAAAAAAATATTTTCTAGTAAACTTCTTTCTTCCTTACACTGCCTTTCTATGATACTCCAAATATTTCAATCTGGAATTGAAAGAAAACTATTTCTTTGCTTTCAACTAAAAAGTATGCACAATTAAAAATATCAAGACTTTAAAGACAAATACCCGAAAGCTGTGTCGTCTTCCATACAAAACGCTGAAGGAGGCAAAAAGACTTTTATTCAAGAATTAAGCACCATCAGAAAAAAAAGAACAAAAGAAAAAATCTCACCCCCTGACAAAAAATACGTTACCTTCAGTAGCAGACACCACTGATGAGTGTATCCAAACCGTATTAAAGAAAAAAATTTTAATCTCAAGTTCCGTCGACAACTGTCGGTTGAAAGATTATAAAAATATCACAAACAAGGAGGTTCAAAAAATCAAGTATTAGAAAAATCTTGTATCAAACAACGTGTAGAAATGAGAGACAGTATTGTATGACTGTACTGCTACAGCGATGAAAACGTACAGTGAAGAGGGTTTCTAAACCACAATAAGCCAATTTCAAATTGAAACAAAGAATACCTTCCGCTTTCTGAGCCGCTGGATTCGCAGTTGCAACTCTTCGACAAGCCCTCAGTATAAAACCTGCAACATTTGTTTAAGATTTATTAAGACTTGTAGAAATGTACGATAAGCTGCAAGAAAAAAAGAAAAGAAAGCGAATTTCAATGTCAAATTCCCTTCCTTACCATATTTACTACTCCTGCCAAGAAAGCCAAATCTTGTCAGCATATTTATCTTTATAGTACAGGGAAAGGCAAGAGACTAGGACAAACGGGCCACAGTGCTGCTGACACGGCTTATCTGATAACGAACCGACCTCTCCTGCAAAGATCACAAAAGATGTTCTGTGACAGTTAAAACTTCTAATGCAACTGAAGGTGACTCGCATAAACAAACATCCGCCAATCATAGACATTTATGAAATCACATAAAAAAACTTCCCCCCTGAATGAACCAGATACGGAATAACACTACATTACCAGTGAACACTTCAGCATTGCCTTACTAGTAGAAGATAAAACTTTCAAGGTGAGTCTTCTGCACAGTGCCACACGCAATAGGTTTCCGATAGACATGTCTGGTAATTCCGGACTCTCGGAGAAGCTCAAAATAGTAGGTAGCAAACGATTTACCCTTACAGCGGAAATAAAGGCGGAAACGTAACGAAGACCGGTACTGATGTAAAAAAAAATTTCAGCTTTTTTCAAAATTTAGCCTAAAGGTTACATCCTTCGACGAACTCCCTTATAATACCTATAAACTAAATAATCCACATTTTCTGGCTAAATACTTAAATAACTTGGGAGTCACTGGTCATGGCTAACCGGAAATTGCATCTGGCACCCTCCATCTAGAAAATTTAGAAATTCGACATTTTGTAAAATACAACCTGAAATTTGAAGGCTATGGAATGTGCGAATTTATTTGATAAAGAACTCTTATTTCTGCTCTGCCACTCAAAGGATACAAAAAAAAAGCGAAAAGAACGGTTACACTAGACAACAATTAGGCTACACGAAATGGATCAATGTATCATACTGAAAAATGATTCTTCAATAACTTATTAAGGCTAAAAAACTGGGAAAAAATTATGGACTCCTACTGCTTTCTCATAACCATTTGCAACAATTTTCCAGCAGATTTCAGGAATCCGTTCACAGATCTACAACTAAATATTGTTCAAAATTTACTACCATTCAGGCACTGTTTTCAGAAATATTGAATTAAAGAAAAAGCACACATATGCTTGACGAACGTCGTGTCCACTGTTCACAAAAGCTGAAGTAGTACAAATGGTCCCTAACAAGTGAACCGATATTGAACTCTGGAAAACCGTCCACTGATGTTTACCGTGCCTTACCGGTAAAGTAATAACGCATCAAAGTGGAACTTACGTTCATAGCCTTTTTTTATCACTCTAAAGGCAACGAAGACTTCGTAGTATACTGCACTATGGCAAAAATACAAAGAGCAAAGTGCTTCCAACCGACGAAAAAGAAACACAGGCCAAGAAAATGCCCTTGGCGGTAGTGCAACTCGACAGTACCCTCGAACCATTAGGAACCAATCGGAAGCGTTACACAGGCAACGGGAGAATTTGAGTGCCTTGATTATAATGCTGCAGCTAAGGTGCTATTGTGCTGTTATATTTAAATAGCTATACACTATGACGACTGTTTGCACACTGTTTGGTATCATTTTGACCTGTCGATTACGCAAATTCTGAAAATAATTTGGAGATTTTTTGATAAAGCATCTTTTTTTTTTTTTGAGTAGCAGGAGGGAGTTTTGTTAGTTTTTTTTGAGACAGGTCTTCAGATGAATCCTTAAAACATTGGGTTTCTCACTGTATATTTCCGATCTGGCTGTTATCAGTACTTTAATTTGTCCATTGAAAAGATCATTTAGTCTTCTGTTTTTTTAGACCGGTCGATGTTGTCGCAGAGCATGTTTTAATTAGTTCTTGAATGTTTTTTTTTTTTTTTGTGGAAGATCGTGAAATACGGACGTTTGTCTTTGACTCCGTTGCAATAAAGGATGTTCGTTTTTTGTATTGACATTTTGTGATGAGCAACAGCTGCCTTTTTGCGATTATAAATCAGCTTATAGTTCAATTTTTTTGCCGGTCGAAATATACATCTTTGAAATTTGCGTGCGGTTAAGAGTGACCAGTAGATTGTTGCTGAAGTTCAATATTTCTCGGGATTTTGGGGTTTAATAATTGAAAACTTTGTTTTTAAAGGCTTGTAAAATCGTTCACAGTTTGATTAGTTTGTGATGTTCGTGAAGCTTCTTTTTTTGTTATATTTTTAACTTAGAACTAGAGATAGAATTCATGTTTTGTGAAATGAGTGGTAGAGTTTTTGATTTGGATATAGGGCGCAAAGGTGCTTAGGAAATACTTCGAGATGGTGCTAAATTATCGAGATGGTAGAAGGAAAAGCGGAGTGTATTGAAAATTGTATAATGGCTGATGTATAGACCTATGTTTTAGAATTGTAAATGACTATTTATACTTTTTACATCTTGTTTTATAATTTTTGAAATCATACCACATGCAGTTGCCCGTGTCTTGGTGAAAAATTTGTGGTTTGTACCCTTGTTTTAAAATTTTTTACAGGAGTTTTTCAATAGAAATCAGAATTAAACTGCTATGAGGATCGAGAAGTGCTATTTTTGCTCTTCAAATATATACCCTGGACATGGTATAACATTTGTCAGGAATGACTGTAATGTAGGATCAGTTTTTTGCTTTGTTGTATCTTTTCCTTAGAATTCTTACTACTGCACAATTTGTTTAAGAACTGGAGCAGTTGAAAACTTTAAGTTTTAAGATATTTCGGTTTTGTCGGTCGAAATGTCATAAGCTGTTCAAGAAGAGGAAGAACCCAAGGCAGGTCAAATGGACAAAGGCTTCACGGTTAGCTAGAGGCAAAGAATTGAAGGGGGATCTAACTCTTCAAATGGAAGTAAGGCGTAATGAACCTACAAGATATGAACGCCAACTATGGAAAGATGCTGGTAAATAGAATGTACTCATTATCTTTATTTTATAAAAATTGTATTCGCCTTCTCAGCGTAAACGAATTTACGGTTTGAAGGGGCGAGTATTTCAGTTGATTGCTTTGTTGTAATGAGGGGATTTCAGTCGATGCCATGAAGAAAAGTTCTGCAATTAAGACAAGGAGGTACGGAGAACTTATCAAGAAGTCTTTGAAACCTGGCAAGGCAGTAAGGAAAGCCTCTCAGATTGCTAAAGCAAAGAAATTGGCTCACTTGATACGTGCTCCAGAGGTAGTTAGGCAGTCCGTTGCCGAAAAACAGCCTGTGAAAGAGGAAGAAATGGAAGTAAATTAAATTACTGTAGCTTAGTGGCTACGATAATTATTGGACAAGAATTTGCAGTACAAAATGTAGTGAAACCGACTGCCCTTGTTTGTCTTGGTCTGTTTCAGATGGTATTTGCGCCCTGTTCAGAGTATTTAATAATCGTCACTTCCAGCTTTCTATTTTTTACCTAAAGCTCACCTGTAAATTATTTTCCGATTTTTTGTTGTTTTACAGAACGTTTTCAGTTTTATATAGTCATTTACTTCAATTACTAAGTGAAAATTGCAGCTTGCAAAATTAGTCCTGTCTTTTTTTTCTTATAAAAGTTACTTAATTTCAAGCGCCGTCTTTAATGAAATCTTTTGTTTTTTATTAATTGAATGAGATCTATTAGGTTTAATTTTGGGGGTTTTCGATGCTGGGAAGAACTTCAGAATATTATAATTTTTATTATGCTTATTGTCAGAAATGTTGTTTGAATTCATTTTTCTGTTACTCTGATTTTGTTTTTTCTTACAATTTTTGTTACACATTTAAGTCCTCCGTTATGCGCTGTTGAATCCGCAGTTTGAATGTAACAGATGTTTAATGAAGGAACAATTTTCTTTGCGGTTTCGTAGTTAAAAATTATTTTTTAGTTTTATAGGCTATTAGATTGGTGGGGACGAGGTGTGTATTCTTGAGAATGATAACGAAAGTTCAAATTAGTACCGTTTCAGCAGTAAGGTTTTTCTATTTTTAGTTGATGGAATTATATTAATTTCAAAGTTCAATCCTCTAATTCATTATGGTTTTTCACTTCAAAAACTTTTTTTGGACTGTGTTCTGTTTTGTTAAGGGAATCTCGTCGAACATTTTTGTAAGATTCATTGGAGCAACAAGAAGCTTGATTAGGTGGTTAAAATGTGTTTAGGTTTGGTGAACAGTTGTAGAACCATTCGCGTCTTGTTGTAACTCGGTTTTAAGCAAGAGGTATTCAAAATAATAATCATTTTGCGACAGGGGAACTGTATTATTAGACGTAAAGTGCTAGCAGAAGTTCATTTTGATATAAAGTGAATCGTCTTACTTTGAAGTGAAGAAAGATCAGACTAATATATCATTTGCAGAGCTCTCGACTTATATGCTATTTATCTCGATTTTTGACTGAGAGTCTTGAAAATAGTTCGCAACTTGAACTCACTTTACACCTAATTTCTAAAATGGTTTTTCTCTCTACTTTAGGCTCAGATTCTGCAAATTCATGTAAAGCAAATGAGGTTATATACGGCCACGGAATATCTTCTGAATTCTTAAAAGCCTATTGCCTGTGAATTGTAACAGTCTTAAATTTGATCAGATTGTGAGTACGTGATGGCACGGTAGCTTTGACATTCAAACAGTTCAGAAATTTGCAGAACTAAAAGACGAAATTATTGCTTATGGTTCTGAAAGATCGCTATTTTTATTTCGGGATATTTGACAGTTTTGAAAAAGTAGAACTCAGAAATAATCGGTCACGAAAACTGAGGTGGCTGAGATCGCATTGAATTGAATAAAGTAGTTATTCAACTGTTTTCTCTAACATTCCAGTTGGGTCGCTTTTGACGTGTCAAAGATAATACCTGCAGGAAAATGATTTTTCTCGGTTACTTCATCGGGCATCTATTACACAAACTTTTGGTGATTCAGGGGAGCTGGCACACTGTGTGGTGAACAAGCTTGGTATCAAGAATTGTTTTAAACTGCTGTTATCTTCAGATTCCTTGCAAGGCTTGCTCTCATTGACTGGTGATCAGCGTTTGATGTGTTCTGACCAGCACATTATTGTTTTCAATTGCTTCATACCTGTTTACAGAATTTTAAAGTCATCATCACTTTGCAGTCGTTTCGATGATCTAGGAGTTTTAAAATAGCCAATTAGTTTTGCGAACAATATTGTCTATTTCCAATGGAACTCGGAAACAGATTTTATCCATTCTTTTATAATTTTAAAAAAATCTCATCACTTTACAGAGTCACATAAGGAAGCGGCACTAAGGTGAAAATAGACTAAGCCTTTCTTTATGCATCAAAGAGTCACATTAGATAATCAACCTGTGAGTAGCGTATAGTTTTTTTACCGGCAGTTGAATAAAGGTTTTATTAAAGCATCGAGAAGCGTCATTATGCTGAATAAAAATAGAAAATTTCTTTGAAAGTGTTCGACAGGTGGGAATGCTTTGAAGACTAACTGAAAGAGGATTGAAAACCCCATACGGAATCGAATGATGGAAAAATGAATACAAAATACTATCGCTTCCTCACATCGATTGTCTTTGCTGTTTGAAATTAACAAGTTCAATTTTAAATGTCATTAGACTTTTCAGCTATCCAGTCACGTGGATAAAAAAATGATGTTAAACTGCGGAAACTGTTATGGTTGATTGAAGATTTTGAAGGTTAAAATTATACCTGTGCTCTTTCTTTACGTATTAATTTGTCAAATCAAATAGACAAACAAAAAAAAAAACGAAGACGATAGTTTTTGGAGTTTTTTACAGGTAGACTATTCACTACTAAGTATTTGATGATCATTTTTCACGGTAAATTCGTCATTCTGTAGTATGCTAAATCTAAAATTTACAAAACTGTGTAGAAAAACGTAATTTTTTTTCTCCATTATTTTGTTATAATATCACACCCAAACTTGCAATAATAATAAAAACACTATGAAATTTGTGCCTTTCTTGTTCTTTGAAAGTGGCAGCGGCATTCGGAGAAGATGAAAAAAAACGTGTAAATAAGAAGAAAGAGCTTACTTTTCTTGCACTTTAACAGCGTTACTGTTTGTGGGTTATAAATTCATTTGCTTCCCAAACTGCTCATGGATTTCTAAAACCGCTTGCAGTTCTTTGCCTCACCGCATTTATCCTCTCCCCCCTAAGATATTACATGCCAAAATAATAAAAAATTGTTGATTACAAATTTACCAGAATGTTTAATATGCGTAAAATTATGGTACAGGTGGCGATAATGGTAGTGGTGCTGATGACAACAGTGGTGGTAATGACGATGACATTGTGGTGAAGAGAATGATCTATGTGAATATGAGTGCAAATTGCTGATTGTTTTATCCGAACTGCAGGGGTCTTTCAAGTTCCGACTTGACAGGTGACAGTTTAGAAATTTTATATTAAAACAACTGTTGTCATCGCTTCTGCATACCGCAGTCCCCTTCTACCCCCTTTTCCCCCCTCCAGTCCACTTCTGTTTTCACCCATCCATCTGCCTCTATCCTGAAGAAGTTTTGATATTAAGCAACAGTCCATTAACACTTTAACTCGCATTTCTCTTCTCCGACATGTTTGCTTTTATCTTCATTAGCAGAAGCAGCACTTGGGATAATTTTGGTAGTAGTAGCTGGTTTCAAATACACTTCAAAATACTGTTTGAAAGAATAAAAAAGTACAGAAGCAACAAAAAAAAAATGAAGGTGAAACCAAAGACTGAAATTATATTAACTTCTTCGTCTTAGCACAGCAATCTATTTTAGACAAACGACAGCAGAAAAAAGAATAAAAAAGTGGGGAAAAAGTGGGAAAAAACTGATTTTCCAAACGAAAAAAAGAAAGAATTCAATACGCTTTTGAAAACAGTGAAAAGAAGTATTAGCAACATAAAACTGTCGAAAAACTGTCGAGGTCATTACAGGGCATTATCAATGGCAAGAAAGAAAAAAAAAAACAAAAACAAAAACAAATACGAGACAATTACATTAAATTAAATTAAATTAAATTGTATTATATTATATTATATTATATTATATTATATTAT